ATTAAAATATTATATGAAATAAAAAATAAACTAAATTATATTTTTCTATCCCTAAAATATTCTTTTTCATGCACTTCACAGTTGGCTTATAAGAAACCACTGAAAGTCACAAGAGGACATTTCAAACCCTACAGCCCAGAATTTCAAAGAAATGAAAAAGCGAGAGAGGTGCATGAAGACATCCATGTCTATGTGCCCCATTGTCGTCCTATTCAGAGCAGCACCAGAGGTTCTCCATGGACCCCTCCTGGGAGTGGGACACTGGCTCATTTTTCTGAGCCTGAAGACACAGATAGTGACAATGGGACATACACAGCCCAGGGCTGGAAGGCAAAAACCCAGAAATGTACCTCTGAACCAGAAGATGTTATTAGGAAGACAAGAGTGCTGTCATCTCTGGATTTACAGGAGAAAGATGGCAAAAATACAAGGCACCCAGAAGCAAAGCTTGAGCAAGAATTAAAAGAGGCAAAAAAGAGGCTGGTGCCTTGTACTCAGCAACCACCCTTGTATGATTCAAATGGGACAGACCTACGCAGACCTAGTTCAGGGTACCAAAACAAAGGAGCGCTGTGGACTTCACAGGAGAACGATGCTGACTGGAGAAAAGTTGCATTCAAACGATCTGGTTGTCCTGTGCCTCTCTTATTTGCAGATGATGCTCCACCAGCTTTGCCAGTTGACACAAAAGATGCTCTGAGGAGTCCAGATGCAGTTGCCAGGGAGCACACAGCTGGCCAGCCCAAGTCACCACTGAAGCTCATAGCCAATGTTATCAAAAGGTCCATTTTTGAGCCTTTATCCTCATCTCCAGAGGGACTAAAGCAGGACTCAGATGGCAAAGTCAAAGCCTCTTCAGAACAAGCTTTCTTCAGCTTCCCAAGTACTTCTGGCTATTCCCTAAGCCAAAAGAACAGTAACAATAACAGAGGAAATAACACTCAGCCACCAGAGCTTAAAGCAGGGGAGTGGGCAGGAGGATATTTAGGAAATGGGAGCCATTTCTCAAATCCATCTAATTTTTCTCTTGGCTCTGAAGAGAGATCTCTAAGGGATTACAGCAAGGAGGTATCCTTCCCAGTATACAGTTCTCATACCAGGCCTTCCCAGACAACCAGTATACCTCAGAAATCATCTTGCACTAGAATGGAGGATGTCCCAGGACTCCTAGAAAAGTTTACCTTTAAAGAGACTCTTCCAGGGGCTTCCATTGATGACATGTTTATCTGTAATGAAAAGTACCTCCTTCTTTCATCTCCAGAGCCCAAGAACACCTCCAAGGACAATCTGGATGACTCTGCACAGAAGGGTAGTCTTGGGTCTCTCTTTGATAGACTGAAAAGTAAAGTCCATGACAGAGAAGGGAATTCCTTAATGTCATCTCTGCCTTTCGTGAGGGACCATTCTCCAGAAACCAGGCTCTATTATCCTTCCACAGGTGAGGACCCGAGTTGAATTACTAGTCCTGTTATTGTTATGATGATGATTTAATAGCACTTAACCTTTAAAATATCTGTGTGTGCTCCTGCAAACACTTACCTGTTGTATGCTATGTTTAATTTATAGTTACTTTCTACGTATGAAGACTTAATAATTCTATTTCTTGGCTAAGGTTTAGGAGTTGCTTCTAGTTTAAAGGAATAGAGTGGATTTGTAAGCAGCATACAGCTTGCTGGACCCACGTTTGGTCTGCTTCTCGCTGCTCTTCAGATGTATTTGGGCCAGACAAATGTATCGGCCGAGGTGGAAGGAGTGGTTTGGCAGAGTGGGGTAGCTGCTGCTGTGACACTGGGGCTGTGGTGGAAGGGGGACTGCAGCGGACAAGCAGAAGGACAAGCACTGAAAACTCCAGTGCAGTGTAGAGTACATTTACTGCTCTTTCCATGAGGAGCTCAGAGGCTGAAGCAGTATGTTTGCAACAGCAAGAAGCTGTGCTTTGTGTATGTGGTTTCTCAGCAGATGTCTCTTCAGCTTTGTCTGCTGTTGTAGTGACCGAACTGTAGACGTGCTTTTGGGAGCTTTGTGGTGTCATTAAAGGCCTTTGTTCTTTTATGTGAGAGGAGATAGCACCTTACTGACCTACTCTGACCTGTTTGTGAGTCTGGGCAGCAATTAAAAGGCATCAATTTTCATGTTTGCTTGCAAGAACAAGGTTAGCACTGAAATTGCAGACCAATCTAAGAAATATCGATGTTGGAGACAAAGAGCAGTACGAGTAATCTGAGCATAGGGTCAGAAAGAACTAGGTGTAGCACAGTTTCAGGTCTGAAATATAAGGTATGAGAGCCTTACCCACTGTGATCCATCTTTCCACTACCCCACTGGAGAAAGTCAGTTATGTAACTAAATAACCTATTGAATTTTATTGACTTACCTGTCTGTTTCTTACTTTATTAAATTGCAACCCAAACTGTAACCCCAAAATTGCTGCTGTATTGCAGCATTAAAATAACAATCTGTATATAAAATGTGAAGTCACTGAAATGTTCCCAGTAAGCAGCCAGAGACTTTTTGCATCTTTTTTGCTTCAGAACTACTGCATACTGAAAGAGACTTGGTCTGAAGCTCATTAAAATCGATAGAATAACTCCTGTTCTTATTCCTGAATGTTTGGATTGGATTCTTGGGGGCATCCTTTATCTAACACCTCACAAAATCAGGCATCCCCATTCTGCCAGAGGATGCTAAGGACTGCACGGAACCCACAGAGAGTTGCTGGTGTTCACACTTGTCATGCTGTGGTCTTAAATGGAAAGCTTTTTCTGAGTCTGAGACTAGTAATTATCCATCAACTAAGTCAAGCTGACTTGCTTTTAACTAAATGCGTTACAATAATTGGTATGTGGTGTTCCTACTAAAATGGGAGAAGTTCTTGTTAGGTTTGAATATTGCTTTACTTTATTTATGTTTTCAATATTTTGGAAAACATGCTGGTTTAATATGTGTTGCTTTCCTCTGCTGTTCAAGCCAAAAGAGGAATGATTAAATTATTATAATTATTGAATATAAGCATTGCAAAGTCTGTTCAGAGGAAAAAAAATGCAGCTTTCATCTAGTCATTTGCCCAGGAATCTGTCATCCTCAGTGTTTCAACATTGAAGCTCCCTGAACTTTTTCAAACATTGATATTTGAGTAAATTAAACTGGTAAAAGAGCCAAGTCTGCTTGACTCTCTAAAATGGCATTTCTGTCTCCTATTGGCACTTCTCTGAGGCTCAGGCTTGTCAAACTTCAGTCATGAACTGATGGTGAGCTTTAGCCCACATTATGTCATTATTTTTCTCTTTTGAAATTTACCATGAATCTCAGAAAATTTCTTTTCTTGAAAGAAAAAAAGATACTCCCAGCACCTGGCAGAAACCAGTTTAATGAGGCTCTTTCTCATACTCCTCTTGGCTCTTTCCAGTAGGGCTTTTCTATGCTATTTGAGGCCAGACTTGTTTTGTGTAAGTATGGTGGGTCTTACATTACACTGGTGTTTTCTCTCTCAATGGGCTGTTGGCTTGTGGAGCCAAAGAATGAGCTGGATGGCAAAAGTCCATGGGTTTAAGATGAGACTGGGTGAGCTCACTGAAGAGAAATCCACTGAGGAGTAACTAAATGCTTAGAAACGACTTCCAATTTAGAAAGCTCCTGAACTGAAAAATGCTTGGAGGCTGGGCAAATGTTATGGGAGGAATCACGTATCACTCCCCGGTACCTATAGTGTTTCTTTACACATCCACTGCTGGGCATCCTGGAAGGACCTTCAGTCTCACCCTATGCATCTACTTCTGTTATGTTGCTCATCTTTCCTTACACCTTATCTTAGTTACTTTACCTGCAAATACACATCACGATGTCTTTCCTCTGCTTATGACTTCTGCATTTCAGAGCCAGGTGTCTGTCCAAACTGAAACTATATTCTGTCCTTCTGTCACATCCTGCCAAGTGTTCAGCCACCAGCTGAAGGTCAGCATGAGGAAGCAGAGATCTTAATTACTCAGAAGCAGATTACCCATCACTCAAACTTACGCCCGCGTTACGCCTTCCATATGGGTCTTTCCAGCTTCTAATAATCAGACCTGGTCTAAAAGCTTTCAGGCTAACACTTCATGAGAGCCATTCCTCAGAGCCACTTGGAAATTTGGGACTGTGTGGGGATCCGGCTGCACAGACTACCTGTGCGCTACATAGACAAACCTTACTCGAAGTAATGGGGGTTCATGCACTGTTTTCAGTGAAAGAGTGAGTTTTTTAAGAAATAAAATCCTGTCCAAGTTTGCCTGTAGAATATACAAATGTCTCCAAATAGCCACACTGGAGTTTCTAGATGCAATTCCAGACTCCTGATTTACTGCACAACCATCTTTGAGGCTTTTGTCCCTTTATTCATCCTTTGTGTTCCAACCTGAAGTTGAAAAAACCCCGACTTGATCAATAAAATTGATCAATCAGATGGTTAACTGTTTTCTCCTACTTTTGACTTACAGACACACCTTCAGAGGACAAGGCCACGAAGGTGGTTGGTTATTGCCAGATGTTTGTCACTCCAGGGTTGCTTCTTGATAGTGATGGAGATGGGAGGAATATCTCTGTCCCTGGCTGAGTGGGGATCATGTGAAAACATTCCTAGAACTGTCCCTTAGATGAGACTTGTTATAACTCAGTTTGTGACTGTGTGTTGTTTACATGGCTCCCTCCATTAAACAGGGCAACCAGTTCTGCTGATGAGAAAATTAGATGTGCTATGAACTCACTTTGCTGGTTTTGTGCACTTTTAGGTTGAAAAGTGATTTCGTGCAAGTATTTCAGGTTCACACATGGTTCCCTTTACCACATCTTTGTACCACTGAAAGTCTGTGTGTTGGTTATGTTATTATCATCTAGGACACTGTTAGCTCGGTGATTTCATGTTTTAGAAGAGGACTAAGACACTGCAAGATTATATTACACACCTAAAACCACATGAGAAATCTATGGAGAAGCAGAGATGTGAAGCCCACTCTTGATTTCTACTGGCCTTTTCATCTCCTACCTTGTGCCAATTCCTGTCTGGTTTGGGATGCCAGTGCCCCAAGAGACGAGTGTAGCTTTGCCTCTCTTTTGCAAAACACTGAAGTACTTAAAGTGGTCATGATTAACATCAATGGCTTTACAAAAATATGGAATCTTGGACACTTACAGAGGAAGCCAATGGATTAGTGTAACATTATGTTGCCAAAACAGTTCCTGCTCCAAGACTTTCTGTGTATTTAGACTACAGTTATTACCGTGGCACAGAAACACCTCAGGAAAGGGAGGTTGAGCTGTGACATGCAGAATGACAGCAGTGGTGGTTTTCCCTGTTAGTCTCCAGGGCAGTCAGCAGTGCTCTCCCATCTAATAGAAGGTATCACCATCTTAACATCTTCATATGACAGCTCCCTCTTTGTTCAGAGGACCTCGAGTCTGTTAAGAAAACCAGTACCTTAGATTTATATGGTAAGGGAGGGGTTGTCAAAAAGCACTGGACTTAGGTCAAGTAGATCACTCTGAATGCAGTAAGGGTTTTGCTGCTTATGGCATTCAACGGCAGTATGCTCTAAGCCAAAGCAAAGTGTCTTTGAGGCTAACCCGTGGATTACCAAGCTCTAACAAAAACTGGCATAGGAGCCAGCATTTTAATTTTATGGATGTTATTTTTCTTATCTCTTGTGACATACACATATGAAGATACCAAGTCCAAGTATCAAGAATTGGAGGTTTCCTCCAACTTTGTAGTGTATTCTGTGACACTATCAAGTTGAATAACTATAATAATATTAAATAATATGCAGTTTCCTGTGATTTAACAGTTGCAAATCAGATATGTTGGTACGGTGTCTTGACCAAACTCCTAGTAGCTACTGTGAGGCAGAAATCAAGAATAGATTAATGAAGATTTCAGAATTATTTGTTCCTTTCCCCATTATAATTAAGAACTAAAACTATGGCTGACCATTCCTAGTGATCCAAAGTCATGTTAGCTGGGAAGGAAAAGCTCCTCAGTTAATTTGGAAGTTAGGGAGATGCTAGAGTAGAATCATAGAATCATAGAATAGTTAGGGTTGGAAAGGACCTTAAGATCATCTAGTTCCAACCCCCCTGCCATGAGCAGGGACACCACACACTAAACTGTGTCACCCAAGGCTCTGTCCAGCCTGGCCTTGAACACCTCCAGGGATGGACCATTCACAACTTCCTTGGGCAACCTATTCCAGTGCCTCACCACCCGCACTGTGAAGAATTTCTTCTTTATATCTAACCTGAAGTTCCCCTGTTTAAGTTTAAAGCCATTACCCCTTGTCCTACCACTACAGTCCCTAATGAAGAGTCCCTCCCCAGCATCCTTGTAGGCCCCCTTCAGACATGGGAAGGCAGCTATGAGGTCTCCACGCAGCCTTCTCTTCTCCAGGCTGAACAGCCCCAACTTTCTCAACTTGTCTTCATATGGGAGGTGCTCCAGCCCCCTTATCGTCCTCGTGGCCTCCTCTGGACTTGCTCCAACAGCTCCATGTCCTTTTTATGTTGAGGACACCAGAACTGGACACAATACTCCAAGTGAGGTCTCACAAGAGCAGAGTAGAGGGGCAGGATCACCTCCTTTGAACTGCTGGTCACGCTTCTTTTGATACAGCCCAGGATACAGTTGGCTTTCTGGGCTGCAAGCGCACACTGCCTGCTCATGTTCAGTTTCTCATCAATCACCACCCCCAAGTCCTTCTCCACAGGGCTGTAAAGTAATTAAGTAATAAATAACTCCCTAGAAGGAATAAGATGGTCAGAAAGAGAAAGCCCAAGTCTAGAAGAGTTGAGTTAATATTCGGAAAAAAACGTATTTTTAAGATCTTTTTTGTAGCTATCAAGCTTTAAAGCTTGACATGTTTCGAGTGGACAAATTATTAATATTATCTAATTTTACTATTACAATTCTAAGTTTCAGATTTAAATGAACTAGCAAGTGTAAAAGTCCATAAATTGAACATTTTTATATGTGAACTCCTTGTCCAAATCCTCACAGCCTGGCGGCTAAATTCTATGCCTATTCCATCCCTTTAGAAATGGGAAAGATTAATGCTAGTCATCTAGAGTAGAACATACAGATGCTGTGATAAAGAAGAGTGGTTTGGGTTTTTGGTTGGATTTTTTTAATTTTTTTTTTTTGTTAATTTGTTTGGAAATAGCCAAAGAAAAATAGTTGAGCAGAGCACTCTGGGTGACATTTTAATGTTGAAAGAAGTGCTCTGTCCCACTGCTTCTGTATCCCTGCAATATGGCAAGACCACAAATCTGAGAGACAAACTCCTGTATTGTCATGCCAATTCTGTCACTCTGTGTGTGTTTCCCGGCACCTTCTTTTTCCTGTGGCTTCAATGATCCACATTAAATTAGTAGAGAACATCAGTGCTGCAATAAACGCAGTATATTGCATACAGGCAATAAATGTGACAGACTGTAACTGTCAGTGCATTCAGGTAGGTCCATCAGATGCCTCATCACTGAGTGGTTTGACATGATCCTTCATCCATCCTGTAGGATTCTCAGGTGGAGACTATGAAGGACATTGCCTATCTCAGTTAGGTAGCTATTGTCTTACAGGGTTTTGGGTACTGTGTTGCTTGAAAGGCTGAGCTGTTTCAGAGCAACCTAAATGGTTTTTCTCTGCAAAGCAAGGCGCAGATACTTGGCTCTCCATAGTAGGTTGACATATGGAGGACTGTGGATGTTATGAATCTATTCTGTGTGCAGACATGGGCTTCCTGTGCTCATGAGATGGCTCTTGGAAGTCCTTTGGGGACGTCATTGACTGTGTCTCTGTCTCAAAAAGGTGAAGAGCTCCTGAGCCCCATCGCTGAGGAGGAGGTGGGTGCCCTTGTGGTACAGCATGCTGCTTTTCCTCTAGACCTTGTAATGCTTTTTAAATTATTGATATCACTCAAAGAGGAGGAGGTAGGCAAGCAGGCACTTATTCCCACAGCTGAGAGAAGAAAGGGAGCGTGTAATTACTTGTGTTTCCTGCTATGCTGGGCTGTAAAGTTTGCCCTTTGCATATTAGGGAATTTGATTTCCCTATCGACATGACTGCAGGGTAGTTACTGCAATCTTCTAGTTGCACAGGGAAAAGCAAGGTACATGAGTTTACTACTCAAAAGAAGTAGTGGCTGATACGCCCCACGCCTTCCTCCATCTCATGCATTCAAAGGGCTTTGTGGCTGACTGTCACTGCTGGGGGCAGAGATGGGGTGAGGCTGGACTTGCACTCTGGTCTGCAGAGCGTGGGGCAGTGCGTGGCACTGGTGTGACCCCAGCAATCGTGAGCCATCGGAGAGTCCCCATCGGGTCAGCAAGTAGGAGCAGTGACAGCCTGGGCAATGCTGGAGCAGGGGAATCCCCTGGGAGGCTGGAGACCCACCTAGAGGGCTATTGCACCTCCCTGCTTTCACTTGAGGGTGTCTCCTGCCCAAGAAATTGCCCTGCAAAAAGGATGGTAGGACCCAAACCTGCTCTACGGGACCCTCTGAGGTTGCAGCTTTATTGAGCAAAAAGACTGGGCTCTTCCAAAATTGAGATTGCCCAGAAAAATCAGAATCTCTGCCTCAGATTACTTGGATTTGCTATTATTGCTTTACTGTCTGGGATGAATGTGTTTCATGGATCCTGATTTTAAATTAGGGCTTGAGATGGAATTCCTACTTCAGGACTGGGATCCAGGACAAAGCAGAGAAGAAACATTTACAGTGGGAGAATGGGAAGTGATTTTAATCTGAATACATCTTGCACCCAGGCAGCCAACTGTTACCTCGAAGATACAAAGGAAAATGGCACTGTTAGCTTTAAATAATGTACATTTCCAAGATGTTGCCCAGCTGTTAATCATTAACCCTGTAGCAGGTTGAAGTGTAGGGACAGATGTTCCAAAAATGGTTTTATTTTCTGAAATAGAGAATGAAGCTATGAATTAGACAAATTAAGAAGAAATTCAAATATTTACACCCAGTTGAAACAAGATGCTGGAAAAACAGGCATGATAAAATTGCTGCAATTAAACGTAATTTAATTTATAATTCTGAAAGCATGCTTCCTCCAAAGGCAGCCTTGGAGTTTTCCTTATGGAGTGCATTGTTGTGATGTATGGATTTTCCTGACTTATTATGGCATTTTAATCAACAGTTCAATGATGTGATAATATTCCTAAAGCAGAAAAATAAGTGACATTTGTTTAGACATAATTAATGAAATATTTATGTTGCATGAGGCTGTGTGATAAAGCCTTGTTCTCTTAGTCCATTTGCTTCTGATTACATTTGTGATTTTTTTATATGACCAGACATTCTGACGCCAACTATTTTACACTGAGCAGATGTCATGTAGTAAAAATGGGTGCCAGATGCTACAAGCCACATAAGGGTAATTTGTTTAAGAGCTGGCTCAGACATTTTGCATTCAATTACACTGTATAGTGAGCCTTATACAATCATTTGGGTAATATGGCTAACTTCAGATATACATTTTAATGAATGTTGAGTGCATTCAGAGCAGCATGCTGCACACAGGGTGCTCAAGGAATTAATTTATTTGTACGTAATACCTGAAAAAAATCAAATAGACCCAGAAAGAGTTTTTGACAGGCATCAAGAATCTAATTAGTGCCATCAGCCGAATTTCCACATTGCTCTAGGTGCTGCTGATTAGAACTCTGGGCAGGTGCAAAGTGTCTGTGTAAGTTAAAGAACAGTATTTTTTGCTTCACTGACTATTTTGTTTCTGCATTTTAGGATGTGAACACCTGACTGTCAGAAAACAAGCTACTGAGTATTCCACTTCTTCCTCTGATGATGAATTTGAATCCAAGCCTTCATTAACACATAAGGTAATCTCGACTTGGAAACAGAAAGATATTTCCTCAGTTGGACTGTGTTTAAGATTCATCATATGATTTTGATCTAAAACACACAGCAATTTCTTGAAGTGGGGATTGGAATGTTTTATCAGTGAAGGTTACGTGTCATGGAGAAAAAACACATCAAAACTCTTTAAGGAAGATGATCATCAAAATTCCTTTTTCGTCTTTGGATCTTTAATTCCCCCAGGTTGCACCAGTGTGACAGAGGAGGTCTTAATTTGACAGACAGACATGTTTTACTGAAACCACATTGAAGCTGCATTCTTAAGTGGCCTTAATATGTAGCCCAACAAGCAAACTGTTGAAAAAATTAAAGTAAACAGATGCAGATTTCCTATGGGGAAATACAAGTTCATTTGAGAAGCACTACAGGCAAGTTGTTTGGAAACTGCTGTGTTTATCCTAATCAGCAGCACTGCATGAGCCACCAAGTTGCACCCAGAGCCTACACGCCGAAAGGGCAGGCTGCACAGCAGGGTCTCTGAGTCCTAATCCGGTTCCTGTGGCTAGCAGTGAGGTTAAAGCACCAGTGAACTCTTGATGCCTAGCTCTGATGTGAAGAAACAGAGCTTTTTTTATTGCCTGAATAGCTCATCAGAAATGTGTTTACCTCTTTCCTGTGGAGAATATCGGTAAATGGAGTTAATAGTACAAAGTGGCCTTTTGATTTGTTGCCTTTGAGGCGGGGTGGAAACAAGGAAAGCAAGGCAAGAGGCTGCCCAGTACTTTGGAAAAACAGCCAAGCTGAAATTTAAGTGGGACTGTAGATAAAAACCCAGTTGCACAGCTCCAGAAGAACAGAAGTGCCAGGAGGTAGAAGAACAGCAGTGTGTGGCAGCACATCCCACTAATGGCTCTGTGTCAGGATGCACTGAGATGTCAGAATTCATCATTCATCTTTCCCATTACAGGAAAAGCAGTCTATAGTAAGATAATATTATGGTGAATTAAAGGTGAATTAAATAAAGTCTAAACAAAATAGAGAGAAGAATGGAGATAGGGGAGAAAACTGGATAGGAGCAACTCCCAGTAGTTCAGGCAGGCACAGGGACAGGCAGGACCAGGCAGCAGGGAAGGCAGTGCTGCCAGGCAGTGCCAGAACCAGGGTGAATGAGCAGCTGTCACACATGGGTGTTAGCAGTGATTCAGTTTTGATGCACCTTCTCCACTCAGCTTGTTTCTCTCGGCTACCACCTAGCACCTCTTTGCATGCCAGTTCTTGCCTGCTATTTCACCACTACTATTTGTCTCTGGAAAAACTCAGTGGGAAAAAGTTTAGCAAGCAGCTTCCTCACTTGATAGTTTTTTGTCTTGTCTACACTGCTCATATATTCTGTCTCCTCCAAAATGGGAAAATGACAGCTTTGAAGCACTTCCAGATCGCTTGGGTCAAGGGCAAGATGGAACAAGCACAGGTGATTCCCTTGGCCAGCGCTGTAGCTGCCCCGCTTTCCCAGCAGCAGCGACAGGTACCCCAGGGAAAGGGAAAAAAACCTCTGTAATGCCATAGAGAACTGGCACTGGGGAGCTTTTCACATGACTTCGGGTAGTGTCCTGTGATGGCTGTTTCTGATAATAGGATATATCCCTTTTACTGTGTTACAAGTGATCCAAAGTGAATTTTACTAGTTAGCAGCTACAGCAGTAGAAACGGATTGAGTTTCCTTAACCCGGTGCTTCCCCCTCCATGTGCCTGGCTTTTTCCCTGATCATGCTGATGTCTGCAGAAGCAACTTTGTGATTCAGACATTTTTTTATTGATGGACACAGTTCACACTCACTTAGGGTTGCAGTAAGAGCTTGTAATGATTTAAAGTCAATATAGGCAAATGCATGAAAGTATTCTTACATGCATATTTTCATTTCAGTTAGGTTGCCCCCAGCACCCTGTAGTAGTGCATCTTGTTTTGAGTATGGGAGTCAAGTTAGATGAGATCCAGAGGTCTCTCCCACACCCTTAACGTTCTGGGATTCTGGGGTAGGTTTGAGGAAAACTGTGATGGCATACTTATGCTCTGATTGCCTTTCTTTATTCCTCTCTCTCTTTTGTAGACGAAAAAGTCTATCATCAGAAGGAGAAGGAAGCTGGAGAGGGAGACAAAGCAACTGATTAAACAAGAGGAACTGAAGAGGCTTCACAAAGCACAGGTGAAAACGTAACTCACAGGTGTCACTCTAGGCAGACAAATGGGACTAGTGAGGATGGGGACTACCTGTGTGGGCTCTGTGCTTCATCTCACTTCTCGTTGTGGCCTTCTGTGTTGAAATCCCACCAAACCATCAGCCAGGAGCAAGAAGATGTATGAGGCAGGGCCTTGCATCTCTATTTGTGACAAATCCACATGTGCCCCAGGACATCATCATAATTTTGTAATTGTGTATGAAGAACAAGAGGAAATAGTAACTGGCAATGAGAGAAGAATACACTGGAGAGGGAAAGAGATAGAAAGGGGAAGTAACATCAGCCCCTGAGAATGTAAAAAACTTGGCTATTACCCCTATGCACTACAGGAGGGTATGAAAATACAGTGATGAGTTTTGTTCTCTCTCTGCCATAACAATGAAAGTGAACCATTTTCTTTGTTAATGATGCAAAGTCACTTCACTTTATGTAGGCCCTGCTCCTTGGAAGCTGCTGGAAACGCTTTGGACTCCACTAATGTTTCTTATTTTCAATTACAGTTCAAAGATTTCACTTACCATACATACATATCTATATGCATGGGTGTGTGTGTGTGTGTATATATATGTATGTGTGTGTATATAGATGTACACACACACAAAAAAAACCCCAACCCTTAGTAGCTTATGTGGCCATTAGCAACTTTTATGTGTGTGTGAACACTTCTCTGCTGAAGGAGAGAGAAACCTGAGCTAGATCTAATCTCATTAATTCAGGTTGTAATGGTAATCAAGATATGGTACTGGAAAGAGCAGGCTTTTTGAAGGCAGAGTTGTCATTATCTTGTCTTGTATTACTTTAGCAGGTGGGTAGTTTTGAGTGGAGCTTCCACTTACTATTTCTTTACCAATATTAAGTTAAAAAAGGGAACTAACAAGTTGTTTTTCAGATGTGAATCTGAAATCTCTGGTTTTGTAGATGTTGCTGCTTTTGTAAAATGTACTACTGAAAAGGAGAGAAATTTTGTGTTTGAACCAGTGGATTTTTGAAAATGCTTATATGTAGCTGTTACCATAAATTCTGTGGCAGAATAAAACCCCTGGGGAAAAAGCCCCAGTGTCTTATTTAATCCGAAGTAAGAGCAACTATGTTATTTTTCAGCTAAGGACTGTGAATTATCTCAAGCTAAAAAATAGATACATAAACACCTTGTCTTGTTTTATCCCTTTGTGGAAATAATGAAGTCCAAGCTTTTTGAACAATCTTTCATATTCATGAGGCTGTTGCTGAGGGCTTGGCTTGGTATGCCCTAACACAGCCTGAGATGAGAACTGCTGAGTATCTACCTTTGACACGTTTCATGCCTATTATCCACACGGCACAATCTTATTTAAAAGGGGATGGACCAGTGAATGTAGAAGTCGGTCCTGAAGTGCCACTTCTTAGGTTTTAGACCCTTTCCTTCATGTGTCAAAAGCTTGTGAAATATGAAAGCAAAACAAAAAAATTGAAACCCCATAGACAACAAAATAGCTAGCAAAGCTCTAGCTGTAAACCTTCAATATTTACATGACTTTTATTCAGGTAGCATCTCAGAATATGTGCCTCAATGTGTAAAGTGTTGACTTTCACACCTTGCAAGACCCAGAAATGTTATGATCTGTGTTTTACAACAGGAGAGCTAGAGTTCAGACAAAAAACTAGGTTCTTCTTGTACCTGTGATACCTCCCCACACAAACGTGGATAGATACCGACTGGAATTATTAAATTGCTTAGGCATCTAATGTGCTCAATGAGTTTGCAAATCCCATGACTCCTCCGAGACTCTTTCAGGCTGTTTCTCTGATCACTGAGACATCTTTTGTCTCTGATTTTTTAAGCTATGTCTGTAGCTTTTACATCATTACAATTTTGCAGGCAGTCCAGCGCCAGCTAGAAGAGTTGGAAGAAAGACAAAGAGCTCTGGAGATTTTTGGTGTCAAACTGGAGAGAGAACTAAGAGGAGAATCAGGTAAATGAAGCAGTGTATGTTTGGTTGGTTTTTTTCTTTCAAATCACATTTTTCGAAACAGAGAGGTTTTAGTGGTTGTCATAGAAATACAGTTTAGTGCAGAATCTGAAATGAAACAATAACTAGAAGGATCAAAAAATCACTGTTTGCCTTTTTTTTTCCCAACCCTGTTAGCTCAAGTACCTTTACATTGAATGATAGCTTTTTACTGTTGGTTGTCACAGGTTTGGAATTATTTGCCTGTTGAACCAGAATCTACATTCTCCCCAACCCCCTTCCTCCTCCCCCATTTTTTTAAAGCCCTGTCCTGAGCTTAATTTCATCCCCTGGAGGGAACCCGTGAGGTTTCCAGGAGCTGTATCTGTATCTCAGTTACCGAGCCAGCAGCAGCCCATGCTTGGTAACAGAGTCCTTTATGACTTCTCCAGAGTGTGAGATGCCATTAATGCAATTAGAGTCAGTGGCCATGCTATAGCAACAGCAGCATGCAGGCACACAGACCCAAACCACACGGTTTTACCCCCAATGTGTAGAAGGTAACAGGGACATTGTCCTGGCCCCTCCAGGTTGGAGGCAAGGTTTTCCCTCACCTGAACTGACAGTCCCAAGCACCCAGCACTGTGTCATCCTGCCCCCAAACCAGCCTTGCCACTGCTCCCCAGCACACATGGAGTGATGCTGGGGAGACCTCCCACAAAGGGACGGGACATCTGGGAGCTCCTGCCAGGCTCAGAATGGGGATGGGACTGTGAACCATGTGTGTAAAGGACTTCAGAGGGGGCTGTGGTTCTGTGCTGAAAGGTCTGGGGAGCCTAGTTGCAAATGTGTTTATTTACCTCTGTTTTAGAAAGCTGAACCTTGTGCTTTCATGACAGGCAGTTGCACAACACTAAAAACCTAGATATGTTTTGGCACCTGATCTTGTTGTTGTGTTAGGCGGGCAACCTAGCACAATATCTGCAGGTTGGCTTTTTTTAATGCCATATTTCTTCACAGTTATTGTCCCCATTCTAACGCTGAAATAATCAGTTCAGCAAGAGAATGTTTGCCCAACCTTTTATATTTATTAACTGGTTTCCTATAATTGATAGTGCCAGCCTATTTCAACTGTTATTTAAAGGCTAGTATCTTTTTCCTTAAATGAAAGAATAGCCTTTATGAAATGGCACCCACTTTACCACCTGTGAGAAAGTCTGCTAAAAAGACTTTGAGGATTTGTTTTGATTAGTTTTTTTCTTTACTGCTGAGCTGTGTAAGGGTGGTTGGTTTTTTGGAAACCTCAAAATCCAGAGAGGGACAAGAGGCTTCTAGCTCTTGGGATAGACGCCAAATACCAAGATAAATGGCCTACAGCCACCTCTTGTTTTTGCTGTTTTGACAATCGCATTTCCTAAAGAAGGCTGTCTGCCGAGAGATTGATGCTTCTCATTCTCTCCCCATCTTTAGTAATTGGATTGCCCTCATTAAGGTGAAAGTACTATTTTTTCTCCCTGTTGATTGTGTGTAGGTGGCCAGTTACAAATAGGGCAGATACTGAAGAGTAGGATGTTACCGTGTCTTAATAACTTTCTTCTGGTGCGAAAGCATGAAGCTGTAAGTTTCCCAAACAAAATGTGAATGCTTTGTTGCTTGTAATAACATACATGTAATGATGCAGGAATTGGTGTGTTTAATATTCTGTTCAACCTTCTTAAAAATAATGAGCATTACTGTTTAATGAATGACCAGTGTTTATTAGGTTAAGTTGTATTTAAGCAGGTCTGCGCTTACGCAATTCAAGTGATTTAATAGGTATTATTAAGGTAATTAGAAAACGATCACAGTTCAGCAATAATATTGAGCTGCAAAGGTTGTGAATAACCAAATTTAGAGACAGGCCTGCAAACACTAGTCTTCAGTGACATTTACGCAACTCTCCTCTAATAATTCTGTAAGCCTGGGATGAATGGCCCCTTTGTTAGGAGGAGTTATTCATTAGCTCCTCAACTGAATTAGAAGAGAACATGCGTGGGTGCGAAACAACTGCCATGAAGACTGATGAGCAAAATGAGGCTTTGATGATCTTCTAATTGTAGTGACAACAATTCATGCATTTGAAAAAAAAAAAAAAAGAAAAGAAATAGTATCAGTCCTATGAATAATTTTCCAAGCCCGTTATTCCCTTTATTCTGGTTCAAAATACCAAGTAATAAACCACTGATGTACTGTCGCTTTGTTTTCCGCTGACATTTGTGGAGGCTTATGGAGATCTTCTGCCTACAAGAAAATACAGAAATAAAAATCTCGAAACACGTTTTCCAGTGAAATTAGCATAACCCATCAGTGACTAAACAAATCATGAAAGAAAATCTGTGTTGAGAGAACGTTAAGAAATCTTTCTGTGTTTTGGAAGGTGAACAAATATCTGCACATGTTGCCCTTAGTTTTTTATTTCGTAAGGATCATATTCAAGGTTTCTGAGAACTTTCAACCAGAGTCAAAAGAACTCAGTTAAAACCCTGTAGGAATGAGGAATACGAAGTTTAGCTGTTCCTGAAAGGGTGCAAACTGGCCGAGGCCCCTTTACTGTGTGACTGCTCTACAGAGGGACAGTGTAGCATCAGTCTGGAGAACAGGAGGTTGATGGTTTGAGAACCATGTTCAGTAAATACTCCTATGCAGCCTGTCATTCCCTAGAAGTATTGAAAATAGAAATAGCTACAATGTAATTAGAAGGGTACCTGACTTTCAAACAGGATCTAGGTTAAAGGAGACTTGTGTAAACCAGGAGGAAAGTTTTGATTTAGAAGTGCTGTAAGAGCCAGTGTGGCTCACAGATTGTTTTCCCTCTAACCTTTAAAAGGATCTGTCATACGGCATAATGCAAAATACTTCATTGGCTTGTTCTGCTCTTGGAAGGCATAAAGCACTCTATAAGACTTAAATAACTATTAACATTATAAGTAACAAACATTTGAAAAGCTCAGGTTAAAAATGCCCCTGGGGACACTCAGGGGGGGCATTCTATGGGATGCAGAAGGAGATAAAACAAGGGCTATTTTTATTCTGGCTTGCACTGAGGATTTTGCTAAAATGAGTGGCATTACTCTTTGCTTACCTCGATCAACCTACATACACAGTCATTTATTAAAGGTACACAGATTTTGAAGTGTAAAGAGGAAACATAAAAAACCCCAAACCCATTTTGCCTAATCAAGAAAACAGCAAAAAGGGACATACACCTACCTACAATTGTGATGTTTTTACTGTCAGTAAGTTAGACCAAATTTCGATGATAACTTCTGATGGTGGCACGTGAAGACTCAGAGTACTAATGCTGCATCCCTGCTCTGGGTCTGGGAGAAGCCACTGTTGGCATGTCCCAGTGAGAACTGCTCCAGCAGTCACTTGAGAACACAGTTTTTTTCACTGCTCGCTGACCTGGAAGATCCCACGGGAGCACATCAATTACTGCCAAGTTTTAATGGAGTCAGGCAGAAATCGGACCAAGATTGCTCTGCCCATTCCTTCTGTTTAGCTTCCCATTTCATGGTAAATTCAGATTGGGGTGAAATCCTGATAAGAAATTGAACTGCACCCAAGCCAGCATGACTCCTGACCTCAGCACGAGGGCCCATGTAATTCCTCCAACACTGGCAGGAGGATGACCGTGCCTGATGAAGGCACAGAAATGGGCTGGTGAACGTCTAACATTTCCCTTCTGCTCAGGAAGATTGCTAAAGGGCTGCATTGGGTGAGATCACTACCTGCCCAAAGGAGATGGGCTTTAAACTGCTGTTCTTGAGTGGAGTCAAATCCTGGCTTTGACATTAAAGTGACGGACAGCTGAAGAAGTAGAGGCAAGAGGGTAATTCCAGGGGCTGACAACAAAGCACATTTCAAAATGACAACAGAAAGGCATCTGAAACGCTGCTGAACTGTCCAGGACTCTGGCTGTCTTGGCACTTGATAAAGTATAATGGTACTTTTGTAATTGTCATCTCTGGATCTTGAACCTGAGACCTTTGGGCTTATATCTCAGCACCCTCAGTCATCTGTAATAAAGGTGCAGTCCTCTTAAAGAAGGAGAAATCACATAAGTCTTCATCCAGAGAAAATACCCAGGCTAATTTATGGGTGGGTTATGCTTGGTTGTCTAGCAACGTGATATAAGGATGGAGGAGCAGAGAGCTGTGTTCCCCTGCCTGCTGGCAGCACCTCCTTTTGCTTTGTCCCAGGTCCGGCTGGCCCTGCCTCCAACACACAGTGGTGGAGTGTGCAGCTACCATGTGCTGAGGCAGGAGCACAGGCTGGCTGTTGGTTTTATGCTTCTGAAGGGGCCAGCGTGTCACCTGAGTTGTTGCCTCAATCTGGAGCAGTGTAAGATATTTGCTTCCTACAAGTGATCACTGTTTTGTGTCAACAGATGGCAGATGGGCAGAGCAGACATTGTGGGAGGTGTGTTTGCAGTGCCATCACTGCTGCTGTAATTCTGCATCAAAGGGTGTTGGGGTGGTTTTGTTTTTTGTGAAGAAAATTAATGGAAAATGTGAAGTGATGAGTGTGTTAAAAAGGGCACCAAGGAAAAGAAACACACATGTGCTCTGATTTGCCACTTGAAGGCACCCAGGGGTTCTTCATTGCCAAAGATTTTTGTACAGACAGCATTTTAGGAGCATTAAAGGCCCTCACCTAGTGAAAGAGATCCATCCTCCCCTTCAGCAAGGCAGAGTCAAGCTGTGAGCTCTTTGGGAGACAGACCATTTCATGTTTCATGTCTGTATAGGGCCTAACAGTGATGCCCTGGCCCACGGTGTTACAAAACCACCCAATAATAAAAGATTTGTCCTGTCCCAAGCCTTTCCTGTAATTCAAAGCGCATGCAGGCTTAGAGGCCAGTTGGAAAATGAATGGAAACTTGTGGAGGATTGTGTGTCTGATGCCCACACACTGGAAGCAGGGACTAAGCTGATACTTGCCAGCACGTACATCCTGAAGTCCAGTTGCGTTAATGGATATCCGTTTATACATATAGATTAACTGCTGGAGTCCAGTATCAGCAGAGGAACTATATTATCAAAGGCAGAACTAAGAGAAAGAAGAAGTGCCCATTAAGAAAAGAAAGTCTATATGATTATTGAGAAGGAAAAACTTAACCACCTGAACAAAAGTGTTTAATTCTAATGCAACTTTAACTGCTATAAACGACAACATTCAAGCAAATGTAGACGAGAATGTTGTACCTGTTATACCCAGACTTTACTGATGTAAGTTACATCAAGCAAGAAGATTTACATTTGAACTCACACAGGCTTACAAATGAGGACTATTTAATGTGAATTTAAGTGGTAAGTGCATTGGAAGGAAAGCTGGTGATGCACACTTAAGCCTTTTATTTCAAACAGATTCAGGCACCAAGGATGAAACTCAGATGCTACATGAATGGTTTGAGCTGGTCCTGGAGAAGAATAAATTAATGCGTTATGAGTCTGAGCTTCTGATTATGTAAGTAAGGTCAAACATTACTACTAAAGATGGGGAGAGAGGAAAAGCGTACTGAAAACACACCCGAACACCTTGCTGTGTGCTGCAGTTTGAGACTGTTCTGGAATAAATGTACCCAGAGTAGCTGCAATCTGTTTTGAACACAGATTTTCAGTGGAGCCTTCCTTGTCCTTTCCTCTCACAGGGGTTCATTTATTTCAATCCTATACCATACCCTAAAACAATATAGCATGTAGATGCTCTACATTTACATAATGTGCATCTAATGAACTTTATTCTGTGAAAGAAAAACAGTCTGACAAATTTATCTTGGGTTTCATTGGACATAGGGGAAAAGATCTAGGAATTCACTACAGCAATGAAGCAAATAAAAACTGCCTCAGATGCCACTGTGGGTGACGGAAACAATATAGGCTGCAGCTCTGTCGACTCACCTCACCTCCTTGGAAATGTACTCAACAGATAGGCGGAGGTGACTCTCAGCTATTCTCTCAGGATTTCTGGGCCACGTGGGAAGGCGATGAGAGCTGCAGCAGTTATCACTCACCCCTGATTTCACACCAGTGCAGGCTGCTTGTTGCCATTTATCATTTCCATATCACTCAGCACCCAATGCTGTGGGCAGTGATGCAGACCAGCCATTAGCTCCAACTGCACCCCAATTTCTCCCCAGCTGTGCTGATGCTCCCAGGGGCCAAACCTCTTTTTTCCCCTTCGATTGTCATTGGGTGTTGTAGCAGTAATGCTTCTTGCTCACACCGTCTGGAAAACAGAGTTAAAAAACCAAAAGCAGGCTGCTTTTGTCACTGCAAGACACAAAATATTGTCTGGATGTGTTCACGTGTGTTAATTCCCTTCCCTCAGGACCCATTCTTGCGCAGAGAGCCTGCCAGGGCCCTTCCTGTGTGGGGAGCATTCAGTCCTATCCAGAATTACACTGTGGGTGCCACCAACAAAGCACAGCTGGCTAAAGCCTGAAGTGTTGCAGCGTATGAGGGAGCTTAATCTGATACATGATACAAAAGGTGGTAGTGGTACATCTGGCGTTGCTGTGGCAATGTAGGCATGGGCAAACTTTTTAGCCTTGATTGCCTAAGAGGAGAAAATACTGGATAAACAGAACACAGAATCTCTCAGTTGAAATAATATTGACATTTATGTCTTTATGGAAAAAACCTCCCTTAATGTACTTTTTATTGTACCTAGAGCCCAAGAGCTAGAATTGGAGGACCACCAGAGCAGGTTGGAACAAAAGCTGAGAGAGAAGATGGCCATTGATGGTAAGTCAAAGGGAAGTGTATGCTCCAGCCCAGTGACAGGCCATGCCTGTATATATCCCTGTTTGCTTCAAAAGGACCAGAGTGGCTGAGGCTCTTCCTCCTGTGCTCTTCTGCAAGGGCAACCCAGCCAGCAAAATGCAACTTCTGAGATCTTCTCATCTAATTTCTAGTGAAGACAGCCAGGCTGACCTCCTCAGTTTTACACTGAACTGGGTCAGAACCACTTGCACATGTAATTGCACTAATTGTGTGTGCAGGCAGCACTTTGCACTGAACTGGGTCAGAACCACTTGCACGTGTAATTGCACTAATTGTGTGTGCAGGCAGCAACATCCAGGTAACATGCAGTGAGAAGCAATGAAAAGTCATTGTTTCAACCACATAAACACGAAAGCGGTTATCTGCTTTTGTGCCAGACGTAGCATTACTGGGTACCACAGTATTTTGGAACTGCTTTCAGATACTTTGGGTTACAGTTTAGGCTTGCCTTTTCATTTGGTATTAGCAAATGGGGAGCACAGGGAGGAGGAATGAAGGAAGAAGGGGAGTTAAATAGCACTGAATACCCCAAAATATTGTGTTGTGTTTGAAGCACGGGGATTATAAGCGATGGCAGTTTTCAATACATTTTCTGAAAAACACTTTTCATTTTCTTGCAGGTACTACATTTCATGGGTGGGCTTTTTATCTTATAAATTAAAGTTAAACTCCAGTTTTTGTAAACAAGTTGTGCTCTTCCTACAAATTCCAGTCTAAATTTTGCTAAAAGATCTGCTCTAGCCTTTAGGAGCCTTAATGGTCGACCTTAAATGGCCCAAATGCAGAGAAATTTTCCCTGGACTGTACATAAAAACCATTAACTGCTATTGACTTCATTTGTCATTGACTATAATATTAATTTAAGCTGCACACCAGCAGCTAAAATGCGAAGTGTAACAACAGTGTTACCTGGATGTTAACCTCTTGTTTTGTGATCTTTCAGACAGCCTTAAAGATGAAATGGATTTGAATGAGGAGGACGAAATTTTTACTGAGATGATGAAAGTGGTTGAAGAAAGGGACAAACTTGTGTCTACCTTAGAGGAGCAGAGAGTGAAAGAAAAAGCAGAAGACCAGCACTTTGAAAGCATTATATTATCTAGAGGCTATCAGCAGGGCAGGATTTAAACTGCCACATGCAAATAAACATAATTTCAGCAATATTTGTAATCATGGAGATACAGTCTTCTGAAAAATGGAGAAATTAAAATTGAAAATCAGTTTATTTGGGAAACACGTTGCTTTCTTATCAGAAGCGCTTAAGCAGTTCTTTTGCTCATACCAAGTGAGTCATTTCACTATCAGCTTAAAGGATCACTGGAATACAGAACAGGACTGAATTTACCTCTCTGATGGGCATCAGAGTCTGTGAAAGGGAAATCAGAGCTCTGCTGTTTTCTTGGAATTTTATTTTAATGCTGAGAATAGAGTTTCTGAGAAGCATGGTGACATCATTTAGTATTTTTGGGGTGACATTACTTTCCATCTGTTTATCTGAATCTGTATGTAGTTCTGTTAATATTTTGGCACAGCCAATCCATGGTGAACTGTTTAAAGGTCAGAAAGCAAGCATCTCATATGAAAACAAGGTTCGTTTGTATTTCTGGTGGAGGAAGTGTCATTTGATTAATAACTACATATAAGCACTCATTAAAACTACTGTAAATGCAATATCAGAAATTAATTTTCCAGGTATTTGTAAGTTTTAGTGCACTGTGTGTTTTTGAACAAGAAGTTAAAGCAATATTAAATCCCTACATTTTGTAGAACGGTAACGGATTATCAAAGGGGTCACTACCCTTAAAACTGTTAAATGCTCAAAAAAGCTTTTGTATGTCACAGATTAAGGTCTTTAAAATATACTAAATGATAATTTAAAACTAATAATCCAAACCCAATTAGTATTTATAGGGTAGGCTTTACAATGGCTTGATAAAATACATCACAAATAGTGTCATAGCATGTGATGTGTTAAAGATCTCCCTGAAAATAATTCCTCAATAGGACTGCAAAAAAAAAAGTTGATTTTTTTAATGTCAACATTTGATAGAAAATATTCTGGGTATATTTAAGCTACATTTATCTTGCTGCTTAAGAACATACGTGTATTTTTTGCTTAAAGGAAATATCTTCTATCTCTCTCCTCTATACGTGTGTTTGTAGATATTGGCAAAGCTTGTGTGCGGGTTCTCCTTAGTATTCGGTGCAATTCAAGTACTTTGTTAAATATGAGATAATTCTGCAATTTAAGATTGGTAGTATGCCCAACTGTATGTATGATGCACTAGATTTTCAAAGTGAAAAAAACAAGGAGAAACTTAAAGACTGTTTCTTTTTGAATATCATTTTACCTCGTGCACTGAGAAGATGTTACGTTCTTGTTATTTCATGAATGGTGCTTATTTGCAACAGTTGCCTATGGAACAGCCAAAGCTAGAAGCATTCCTGGTACAAAAGCTTTAAAATAAAAAACCTCTTGGTAAGTATTTGTA